TTCAGAACATATTTCTTCTATCCCTTCCAATATGGAAAGTATTACAGGAACCAAAACAGGTGGTTTCTTATTGATCCAGGAAGCTTGAGGCAGTCTGTCTTGTTTTCACCAAAGAGTCACAGAAAGAATCATTTGGCACAGAACTCCTCACATAAAAATTTCACACTCCAGACACTGGACCATCTCTCCAACAATAATCATTCAATTTTATCACATATCACAGACTCGTTTAACATTGCTTATAATAGCATCTACCCAAATTGAGACAGCTAATTCTATATGTTCCTGCATTTGAGATGGAAAATGATCTTCAAGAATAATGTCCACAAATCGGCAGTTCCAGGATTTAAGGGAGTTGGACAAAAAGGCATATAACCATGATGGCTCATGCAGACCAACTATAGAAATTACTGAAGGAGAACCATATGTGATGCATACCACTTTATAAATGGAAAACCATGACTTCTATAATAGTACTGGAACAAATTTTGCTTCATATATTAGGAGTTAAATCATTTTAAGCTTCACTGAGGGAAACCACTGCTGACTTCTCACGTCAGCAACAGGGCAATTTCCCAGCATAAGACAAAGCCTAGAGGGGCCACCTCTCACCCTGCAATTTATCACATCAGCCAAGATCAGATCACAAGCCCTAGCTATCAGCTCCTCAGGATAAACTCCAGACCTCTGGAATTCAATCCACCGAGGGCTCAGCTAAAACTGCTATTATTCCACAGAAACTCTAGTTACTATCCAAGGAACCACGCTTTAGCTCCGATTCTTCTCGTTTGCTTTGCCAGTGCAGAAAAAGCAAACAAGACTCCTAGATTAAGGAAACAGGGTATTTTGGAAATAAGTATGTAAACGTTTTCTTCAAGCACTCTTTTCAGGCATACAGAAAACAGAAAAAACCCATGTTTTGGATAGCAAAGTGAGTTTCTGCTATATTACCATTTAAGCTATGTAGAAACAATAAGTACTGTTCAGCAGTGGATTATGCTGCCTTGGAGTATAGTGGGGTCTCCTTCTTTGGAGGTTATAAAGCAAAGGCTGGAAATCCATCTGTTGAGAGTGCTTTGATTACATTGTCCTGCATGACTGGGAGTTGGACTGGATGGCCCTTGTGGTCTCCTCCAACTCTATGATTTTATGAAGCTATGAAAAACAACCCTCCAATAATTTGCAAAATTTCACACTCTACTTCCTAACTGAGGAAAAAGCACATTCGTTTATTTTATTAAGCCTACAAGTTATTATTGTAACAAGTAGACTTAAAAGATGGATCTAGCAGAAAGCTGCACATGTTGGTTGATTCCATGTGATTCCATGTGAACTGCAGTTGTAGAAATACTATACTTTTAGGACAAAAAGCAAAAAACAGTTGTAGAAATACTATACTTTTAGGACAAAAAGCAGCTTAAATACAATTACTTTGTTGAAAATATTCATGTCCACTGAGATGTGAAATAATGTTAAGAAGCAAAAATAACAGCTGTATGGAATTTATCAGAGGCAACATGAATATACTCAACTTTAGCAGCCAAATCTAAGTTGTCTTTTTTGCAAAGACAATACTATTTTACAGCACCACGATACAGGTGTCTAAAAGCAGACCAGCTTACAGTTTGTTACCATTTAGGCATTGTGTGCATCTTTGTTTTAAAAGGTATCTTCAATAAAGGCAGAAAGATGGGTAGGTGAGAGAGATTTCGAATTTCAGTAATTATGGAAAAGTTTGGAACATCACATGATTTGTCTCAAAGGATGAGTACCCAGAAAATCATGGTTATGGTGATCCTACATATTTTATAGTTTTCTTAGACAAGGAATGCTCAGAAGTAGTTTTGCCATTTCCTTCCTCTGAAGCAGTGATCCTGTAACAGTAGGATTACTGCTGTTACAAGATTTTAAATAAGTGTATTACACTTATTGTTTTCAAATTTCATACTCTCACAGAAGAAACATTAAGTTATTGTAATGACAGTGTAATTTAGAATCCACACTAGAAAATTAGCACAGCTATATTCCCTCTGATAAATAAAATTAAACTATAAACAGAAGTTTCATTTTGTCTTGGAGAGGGAGACAGAGGTGATGTATTTCATTCTTCGGAAGCACTGGAGAGAAAAATAGGTAGGACATCTACTGCAGAGACTGATTGATAGTAAAGATTTGGGTTTGTTTAGAACTTTGAGGCTCACCATCTGCTCTTTTGCTCCTTCTCCATTATTATTCAGATCACTGAGGGTGGGATTAAGGAGTTGGGACTTTGGTTATAGTGAATTCCTCTTTGAGGGCAGGAATCATTTCTGTTTCTCCCAAGCAACAGCAAAATCTTTACTACTGAAATCAACATTAGATACGCTGAATCTATACAATTACCTGTCAGTTGCAAACCTTCCCTCTATGGACAAGATTAAGAGTAGGTTATAGTGTCAACACTGGTTAGTTTGGGGAGAAAACAAACTGCTACTTAGACCCATTTCAGTTTAGGTTCCTAACTAGATTCTAGTTACTCTAGCAAATAACTGAGAACTGGATGGTGGGAATACAAGCTCTTAGTGGCATTTGATGCCAGCTATTGTGGTATCCTTTTCCACAACTGTCTTATATTAAGGAGGCTCTGGACCTCTCTCTGTAGTCAGGTCTCAAAGATAGTGCAGTACTGAGCAATTTCTGTTTATCCTCCGTGCTTTTAATCCATTTATACAAATCTACTGTGAGAAGCTATGCAGAAATCTGAGTTTTCATGACATTCATATGTTGGTGGCACACAGTTCTACCTTCCCCCCATTGCCACCCAAGAGATGTAATGGAAATTACAGAGGCAGAAAACTGATGGGTTGGAAAATTAGTGTAACGTTTACCACTCCTTCCTTTGAGATTTGGACTGCAGCACAAAACTGGTCCTTCATGAAAGGAAGTCCCCTTAAGAGCTGTTCGTTTTGCTATGGTGGATTTCAGGCACCAGCTCTGGCCATGAGAAATTTAGCCTGCATGCTAGTTGCAAATGCAGTTGGAATGATAAGTTCTGGCCTTGTTTACACATTCATTGGTTGCCTCTAAATGGACTATTCCAATTTTATTTACACGAGGCGGCCACTGAAAATGTCTGAAAATCACATCTGCCACAAAATGTGGCCATACTGATGATGGTAAGAGGCTGGGAAGTCCATAAATAACATGATCTCTCCAAAACCCAGGGGTTTTTTGCCCCCTCCAACCGAATTGGTGGCCTGTAAGATTCTTAAGCCAATGCCTGTTCTTAACCTTTAGGACCCCACATGGCTTGAGACCAGACTTCTAAAAGATAGCATTCATATAGATAATCCTCATGCTAAGACTTCCTTCAGGCTTTCGCTGTTACAAGCTGTCAGGCTGACACTAACAAGAAGATAGCACCGGCCACACAATTGTGGAACTCCTTCACTATTTATTTGTATCTTCTCTATATAGTGGCATTTAGAAAACAACTAAAGTCGACCTCCACATTTGCTGGTTTGAATTTTACAGATTTGATTATTCATGGATTTGATTAAAATATTCTCTCTCGGATTCTTCTGGTCCTCCAGTAAAATTCTATGGTTAACATCCAGAAGACGCTGACCACAATCTCTAACTGGGATTATAGTTAAATTGAACATTTTGACACAGCAGTTTACTGAATCAATCTATTTGCTTGTTAATACAGTTATTATAGCTCATCTTTCCTTGTTTTTGTTTGTGCACATTTTGTAAGGGTGTCGCCCTAAAACGCCCTACTGAAAGTATGTAAAATAAATAGATCTGTCCACTCAACAAAAAAATCTGGAATGATGTCTATAACATCTGTATTTAGGATTAAGAGTTAATACTCATAACATGAATTTCACTTCTGCAGACTGCCTGATATTTGCCTATATTACAAAACAACAGAAAAGTCAAACTATTGTTCCCTCACAAGGTCCAAAGACTTCAAAAGAGTTTTCACAGCACCACAATTACATCTGCAACTGTTTGGCAGTTGATAACATTCTTGAAGAAATCAGTTTAAAACATTCACTTCCTCGATACTTTAATTTTATCAATGAAAAGAGTGCAATCAATGGTTCTCATAAATATTTCTCAGTATGTATTAGCTGGGCCTCAAGTAAGGGAAGCTTCTCTGGCATGCAGTTTTGCACATACTGTGAGATGGTGAAAAACTTAAATAATAGTTGTATTTTGTTGTGTCATCTCGAAAATTATTGTTCAGTATATGCTTTTGATTTTAAAAGTTATGTTATAAATCTTGAAGCCAAGTGAAGTATGAATTGTGTAGCCTAGGGGTTCAATTATCATTTTTCATTTCCAAAACCAAATGCGATAAAACTATCACTGAATATTATTACTTTAGTTATGATATCTCCATCAGGAGTTTTGGCTTTACAATAAAACTCACTCAGACGATTGTATAATCTAAGCATAAATATCAAGTTGCATCAAAGTACCAGTAAGGACCACACGCTGCAATATACTGGAATGTAAATGCTGCCAAAATAAAGATCTGGTAATGATTAGCAGAAGAATGCTATACAGTTGTTTCTAATTTTAATCCTTCATGCATATTTAAAATCTGTTGTATGAACACAGTTTACTGTTAATTTACATGGCTTCTTTATATTGTATTTGTTTAAAATGGAATAACCCAATAATTAAGTTTAGGAAGTGTTGGCCTGACATATATAACTTCACTGAAGAGAAGAGTGTCTGGATTTCAAAATGGCACACTTACTACATATTACAATTGCTTCCTATTGCTTTTTAACCACAAGGTAGTGAAGATACACAACTTCATATTTCAAACTCTTGCATGTCTAAAGGCATTTAAAAATGATTTCCTGAAATATACATTTTACTTAACGAAAGGGCTTTTACTGGGTAGATATGCTTATACTGTTTCCCCAGTATTCTGAGGAATACGGAATACCTGTTGCACAGAGCTAACCCTCAAGGCAGCATACACAGCAGAAAACTCTTACCAATTTTTCATCAACTGTGATGAGTTGCGTGTCTTGGGCTTGGTCCTGTGCCAGTTGCCATGTGGAAGTGTTCAGTGACCTGCAGTGCAAGACTTGAAGTTAAAAAATGATTCATGCAATGAGAAAATAGAGGCAGACAAATCTTATATAAACAAGTTACTTTAACAATATCCATCTTGTTAAAAAGTGTGTGTGTGAGGGGGGGGGGGAGAGATGAGGGCACAAAAATCCTTTCCCCCTCCCCAATTAGTTCTGTCTGCTGAGCTTTTGGCAGACTCCCACTTAGCAGTTCACAACAGGCTGCACTTTATGTCAGCCTACAGGCTCTCTGTCACACAGAGACTGCCAGTGGCAAGGACTGTACTACTCTATGAAAGTACAGTAGTTGGTTTGTCACGAACAGACAAGGAAAAAAAATACAAAGCTATTCAATTCCTCTAGAACTCTGAACGTCAATGATGGCATCATTAAAAAAAAACCCTTTACTTCCTTTTCTAACAATTCAAATTGTAGTGTTAAAGTTTGGCAGCAAGATTATAAATACAATAGTCCGCTGAGACACAGATTCTGATCCTCTTCAAAATTCTTCTAGTCTACACGTTTCTCTACAAATAACCAAGGTAATCATTTCCTACTTTTTTTTCTTCCTTGCAACATTGGTCTAATAGTATATTAATTCAAAGAGGAGCTTGGATCCCAAAACCTATACTTCCACTGTTGTTTTACACTTTGGGTATGCATCAAACTATATTTAAAACCAAAGATGAATGCAATAGCTTAAAATCTCTTGATGTGATAGAATCAATTTATTCTATCATGTGAACACAATACCAGTGGGGTTTTTTTTTTATACTAGTGCATACAACCCACTAGTTTAAACTAAAGTGATAAATTTTCATTTCATTAAGTATAGTACAACTCTCAAATTCTTGGGAGATACATTCTGATACCGTAGATATAGAGAATGATATATTTGACCAAACCTGGCTTGGAAGTATACCATAGAATTGTACTGGAAGATTTAGAGAAGCTGGTAAACACTTCAGGGATCAGGGGGAGGAGAGATGCTTTTTAGAGTATGAGTAAGTGAAAATGTAGATAGAGTCCGTGGATAAGGGGGTTGTACAATGAATACACAATTAAATTTACTCTGAGGTGTTGATATGCTTTAACTAAGTTCTTACTATGTTCAGTTTCCACATCAAAAACAAAGTAAGAAAAATGTGTTTATTTTTTAGCTATCCCATTGATCCCCCGGAAAGCTCAGATCAGCAAATTTAGTATACAAAGAATTTTAAAACTAGACTCTTGCTTTGCAAATTGTTCTTCAAACACTTATATAATTCACAAAACTAGACAAGACTTCCAAACACAAATGAACTTTGAAGTTTATGAAGTGTCACAGCTGCACTGTTGGCATAGATTCCAATACTACATGAGCATCACAGTTTCTGAAAGCCGGATATATGTTATGAATGTAATTAATGCAACAGATTGAAAGACTGCATGTCTTCATTCTCAAAAACAAAAGGAAGGAAACTGCCACCATTCTACAGCAAGCCAAACCTAGAAAAGTATTTCAGTTTTATTAGTAGCCTATATTTTAATATGTTATGATTTAAAATGTGAGTTTTCCGGGCTGTATGGCCATGTTCCAGAAGCATTCTCTCCTGACATTTCACCCACATCTATGGCAGGCATACCTCACAACCTCTAAGAATGTCTGCCACAGATGTGGGTGAAATGTCAGGCTTCTGGAACATGGCCATACAGCCTGGAAAACTCACAGCAACCCAGTGATTCTGACCATGAAAGCCTTTGACAACAAATGTAAGAAGCTTCCCAAACAAAGATGATTCTGAATGTGTTTGAGAGACAGGCTGAAAAATATTTTAAAGCAACTAATAAAAGTTTTATTTAATAGAATGAAATGGTTAGAGTTTCACATAATTTGCCACTGGAGCCTCAGCAAACTAACAAAGTATGTTTGAATGGCTCCCAAAGTAACAGAAACAAAATAAAACCAAATCATCAGCCAGGTCTGGTAGCGTTTTCTCTTTTTACAAGTTTGGGTGGGTGGGGGATGAATAATGGGCTTGTATCTCTAGAAGATGAAGGCACAATCTAGTAAAAAAACAATAATAAAAGGCATTACTATACTTGACATCAATGATGTTAATTAACATAACAGGTGTAAGTAAACCCATAATCCACAGTTATTTGTGTTACAGAGTTTGACACAGAAGAGGCTATAGATTGGGACTGGCAGAACGTTTGCCTGGAATGAACTGTGTGCTGTACTTGATGGAACAGGGAAGAGCAAATGTCTCATTGTTCAGTGTAATACAGTCAAGCTCTGACCCTATAAGAAGAAAAGAAGAGCTATCACACTCAACAATTAGTTGGGATTTAAAATTAATAACAGAAAACAGCTGCTTTGACAAAGTATATGACTAAAGTGGAACAAAAAACTTTATAAAGATAAACTGGCTTTTCATGTTGTTCAAAAGGTTGAATATTTTGGAATAGGTACCTCTACTATAAATTATAACTTATTCAATCGTAAAATATGGAAAAGGATTTTAAAAGACTGGCACAGGTGGAAGGCTTTTCATTTATGGGCAAAAACTTAGCCATAAAGGCTGGTTTATGTTTTTAAACAAAGCCATCAGCAGGTGTCAAAACATGGAAAGAGATGTAATCAACAACTCCGAACAATAAGGGAGTTCTGTAGGTGTGGCTCCACCACCCAAATCTCCAATGTCTTATCTACCATGTTTGAAATAGGGGTACTAAGACCTGTTTCAAAAGCTGGACACGTTCACACAGGAGCAGTTTCACTGCTAGCTAAGCCGTATGCTGTTTAGTGCTTTAAAAGCCAAAGCCACCACTTTAAATCAAACCAGGAATTAAAATGAATTAGATCTATTTGTGCACCATGTTGCACCCATTGAAATGACAGCACTATGTAAGAACATAGATTGTACCATTGTAGTATAATCCTGCTTTTTGGCAGGGGGTTGGACTGGATGGCCCATGAGGTCTCTTCCAACTCTCTGATTCTATTATTCTAAGATTCTATGACAATTGTGTACAACAAAAATGGGCTCCTCAGGCATTGCTAGACTACAACTCCCAGAATCCCTGATGAATAACCCTGATGGTTGTTTCTTCTGGGCTTTTTAAGTTAAAAAAAATGTTGCACTTAGCAACATTGTTGTATCCTGGATATACATCTAAGGCAAATAACAAGATTAGGAGCACATTGATGTTCCATGGAAACATCAATGTGCTCCTAATCTTGTTATTTGCCTTTATGAGAAGTGCAACTCCTTGCAAAAAATTTTCTTTCCCCATAGACGTAGGTCTATTCATTTTTAAAGTTAACACTCTCAAAAATCAAAAGTAAAAAGACTGGGAGCCACTATTTGGCACACCTCTGAAGTTTTTTTTTTACTCCATCCCCACTGCATATGTGTGGTACCATCAGCTATGAATTTAATTAAAGAAAAACAATTTCCATTCAAACTAGGACCAGGAACCTAAAACTAATGGATAAACAGTCGGAGTCTAAATGCAGACAAAACAGAAATGACAACTGTTGGTTGTCCCCAGACCACACTGGTAAATGTTTCATATGCAATTTATGGCATTTACCCACCTGGACAGGAGCAGAGCTTGACAGAATGAGGCCAAAGTCTAGGAAATCAATTCTTTCTTGTGTGGTTTTCCAGAAATAAATACCGTTACCTACCTTACATTAAACATCCCAAAATGGTAATTACATTTCTTAATTCAAATAGCAATTTATATCCAAATAGATACAACTACTCTGTCTCCACATAAATGTTCACAAAATAAATCGGTTATAGGACAAGAAAATGGCATGAATGCACACACATATACAAATGTATTGCTATTGCATAGTTTTTAAAATCGCCCTCCTAAAGTTAAATCTACAGCAAGTAATCAGATCACTCTGTTTTCAATAATTAAATATTTGTAAAGTCAGAGGAAAACTAGCTAGTGATAAAGTTATTTGTAGGAAATGAAACCTTATGTTAAAATTTTTGTTCTTATATGCTGGTATCTTATTGCTTTTATTCTACACTCAAAAACAATGAGGCACAAATAATTACATGTATGTATTACACCTCGATGTTTATCTAAGGGCACTTCCACACAGCCCTATATCCCAGAATATCAAGCCAGAAAATCCCACATTATCTGAATGTGGACTCGGATAATGCAGTTCAAAGCAGATACTGTGGGATTTTCTGCCTTGATATTCTGGGATATAGGGCTGTGTGGAAGGGCCCTTAGACAAACATCGAGGTGTGATCCTATGTCTTTTCAATTTACAGAAATTCCCACTCTAGAGGCAATTTTTAGTCACCAAAGGCAACCAGGTAAACAACCTGTACTCTCTTACATTTGGAAATGCCTAACAATAATTATCCCCCCGCCTCCAAATTAAAGCAATCTTGTATCCTTTTAACAGGAATGAAAACATAGGCCCCAAATGGATGAATGCATGTTTAAACTGACAGATCGTACACAATGGAACACTTAAACTGGGGAGAAAAAGCACCCAACATTTGTTTCTCCAAACAACATGGACAGGTGAATTCACTATATTTATCTTTCAAGACAACAATGGCCTGGAAACACACAGATGCTGCTTATCTTGTGCCTAAATAAATACCAAAATACAACTGATTTTAACATTACTAGTCAAAGGTCAGGTGCCACTTGGTATCAAATATCAAAGCTAATTACTATACAAAGTTCACCTGTTTTTAGAAATTGACTCATGACCCTATAGATACTAAATATTATGAAAGCACACAACTACTAAGCCTTTCCTCTGAGCATTACCAATCTATATAAATAAAAATGTAATGTTTGTTTGTTTGTGGGATTAACATAACTCAAAAACCACTGGACAAATTGCCACCAAATTTGGCCACAAGACACCTACTAACCCAAGGAGTGACCATCACCTAAAAAAATTGAGTTTGTCAATTGGGAGTAATAGTTACTGGGATTTATAGTTAACCTACAATCAAAGAGCATTCT